TTCCCTACTTGGTAGTAATATTAGAGTCTTGATATCTCCTACAGTGATATTCTGGAATATGTAAAGATCAGTTGTACAGGGTAAGGCAGGAAAGTAGCAGGATCCACATTTTGATGTTATCTTCTCAGAAATAGGTCATAATAAAGCTATAAAAGTTATATTAGACTATTTGGTGTTTTTTTCTTCAGACACAAAAAAAAAAAAAAAAAAAAAAAAAAAAATCAGCCTTGAAAGTGATGATGTGTAGGAGAAATTCTTCAGCTATTACAATGGTTTAATAAAACATACTGTCACACACAAACACATTGGTCCAAGTGAGATGCTGACTTGCACCCTGTAACATCCCCCATTGAGCTCAGTGAGATTATGAAAGGGCTGAATCAGCTGCAAGTATGGCCCACTATTATAGGATTATCACTTAGATCAGCGGTGCCCAACCTTCTGGCGCCACAGCTTGACAGATAGCAATTTTGGGCTCGCATGCCAACCGTATGTGGGATCCAACCAGCAGACAGACCCTATGCTGTGTCCTAGCCCAATCCAGCACACCCAAATCCAGCCACACACTGGCACAATCTGGCGCTCAGAGCCATGTTATCTGGCCAGTGGGGCTCCCACTGGGGTTAGGGAATTTGGCAGCAAGTGAGTGGCAATCGACACTGCTGTTGCTCCCCTGCCACCACATTTTCAGACTGTTAGGGAGCCCCACAAGCCAGACCTAGCCTGGAGGGCAGGGATTGACCACCCCTGACTTAGATCATGAATAATACTGTGTTGGAACAATCTTATAGCAGAAACCTTAGTGATTATATAAAAATCATGTCACTTATAAGCTCTGCACTGCTGTACCAGTTATGACATTGTTACAATTACAAGTGTGGCATTTACACAAGTCTGTGATAAAGAATTTGCTTAGTTTAACTAAAGGTTTTAAAATACTACCGAACTCATTTGATGGTTCTTCCATCTGCTGATGAAACAGCACTTGTGAAAAAGTTACAAACTCCCTTCTTATAAGGCACATCCAAGTTAATCACCTGGAGTAATACACACTGACCCTGATTAGCACATGTAAACTCAGCTGGTATCAGAAGGAGACATGCCCAAGGATAAAGGGCAGTACTTAGCTTATTAATGTCCAACCTCTCACTACAAATCCTCTATCCTACCACTTCCTAATTTCAAGTACTATAAATGGCCCATACAGAAGGCCAAAACAAAACATCATTACTCTTAGTATCATTGTGCCCCTTGCTAAAGGCCATTGGTTCTAAAGGACAATCTGTTTAGGAAGCCTATTATCTTATTTAATGATTGCCAGTGACAATTTGGCACCCCAGGAGAGGACAAAGAGTAATGGCCATAAACTATTAGAGGATAGTTTCAGGTTAGATGCAAGGAAGAACTTTATAGTAAGGGTGACCAGAATCTGGAATACACTTTCTAAGGAGGTGGCACAGTCCCCAATCTTGGAAGTCCTCAAGAGGAGACTGGACAGACACCTTGCTGGGATCATTTGATCTCAGCAGTATTCCTGCCCAAAACAGGGGTGGTTGAACTCTATGGTCTTTCAAGGGCCCTTCCAGCCCTTAATTTCTATGATTCTAGTTTTTCTATTTGTAGACAATGGCCTGCTGCAAAACATTTTCCAAGATATGACCAAAGCTACTTTCTCACTGCAGAACCCAGCTAGCTTGTACTTTTTCTTCTTCTAGACCATACTATTACTTTGAGACTTGTGATGGGAGCTCTCAGTTATCTCATCTGCCGAACACTGCACAGCTCCATGAGATTGTCTTAAAGTGGTTTAAACCTTTGTTTCTGATTGTACTCTTAGCTCTTTTGCAGTAGGTCTTTCTCTAGATGGGTTACATAGCTTAGTCATGTGATCCCATCCTAGGATTCATTCTATTAAGTGTTTTTGTACCTCCACAGTGTGATATTTAGGTTTTCTTATAATTGGAATCAAAATCTGCTTCTTTATAGTCCCTGATGTGTCAGGTATCTGAAATCTACTGTGTCTTGACAATCAACATGTCACAGTTAAGTCAAATAATATTGTAAAAAGAATAATAAACCAAAAGCACTTCTCTTTGACCCTCCGTCATTATCGATTTTGTGATCTTAACCAATTAGGTGCCCAGTTTTGAAAATCTTGGTCTAAATGTATGCACCTAACTCCATATTTATTATTGTTGTTTAAACTTATATCCTGTACTATCCAAAAGGTTTAGACATCTGAATAAGGAGCCTAGCTATAACTGATTTCAATGGGAGTTTCAGGTGCTCAGCAACTCTCAAAAAATCAAGCCATTTAAACAGAAACATTAACAACAGGGTTAATGTGGAAGTACATAGGATAGCCACAGGCCCTGTTCAGTTTAGAAGAGGGAGCAGATTGCTTTAATGTTTCTTTTCCAAGGACACATATGCAGTACCTTTCACAGGCAGCTAAAGGGCCAACCACAAGCTTATGTGCCCCTTTGGCTTTTATGTTCCAAGGTTTGCTTGGAGTACCTTGGAACATGATCCAGCATGTACAAGATTTCAGTGAACTATCAGGTATCCTGCTGTTAATCAAAGCTAACTCTACTATAGCCACTTCACCAAAGGTGAAATTATACCCGTGTAAAACCAGCAAAGATGAATTGGCACAAGTACCAGCTGTGACATCACAGTTAAGTCCTTTATAGCTAAGTTGAGTTGAACTAGTATTGTTTATAAAGCCTGAAGCAAGACTTCACACTACTGAAATGGGTGTGGGGGGAGGGAAAGATGTGTAAGAATTTTGCACAAGGCCCTCTGGAAGCAGCCATGGAGTTAATTAGTGTCATTCAGTATTTTAAAAAGGGTAAAATTTCATGACTAATAATATATGCAAATATGGATTTTGTTATAGTTCTCTCAGGTTTTGGGGCAGAAGCTGACTGTCACAGGAAGAAACTTCTCCCTGCATCCATTTATATTCCATAAATGGGGAAGTGTGTTTTGGAAAATTTCTACTTTCCTCTGAAGCATCAGGTACTGGACTGAAGCCAGATATGGACTTGGAGAATTAATGGTCAGATCTATTAGGGCAAATCCTATGTTCCCATGGGAAAATGCAAGGCCCCAAGCAGTCACTTGTGTTGCTTGCATTTAAGGCTAGCCCTACAGATGAGGTTCAGGAGAGAAGAAAGAAAATCAGTTTTTTTGGAAACATAAATGTTGATGTTAACATGAACCTTTACAACTGGATAAGAAATCTTAAAAATGGCAAAAAAAAAAGAAACATTACATTTTGAAATCAAAATAATGAGTTAATAGATAGCGTACTGGTTTGTCAAGTTTTCATAACAGTGTTCAAATGAATGCTCTAATAGTCTTGTTCTGTGGGCATTGGAAGAGATATTAGAAGAGTATTTCACACTTCAGAATATTCAATGACATGCTTCATAAATATTAATAAAGTCCAAATCACAAGCATTTGTGAGATTCTTTTCTTCGGTAACAGATTGGTTCTAACAAGTGCAGTGACTTCCAGGCAGAAAGCAGCATATCACTTCATGTAACACATTAACTCTGCTTCAATACTGGTAGTTTATACCTGTTGTGTGTGACTATTGTATCTTATTTAGAAAAAACTCAAGCTACTGTCATTAGATACATCAATGACTTAAAATGATGCTACCCAATTAATGTGAGATACGTAAATAAGCACCATTTAATGATACTGTTTTCAAGTACCAGCTAATCTCAATATGCTGTCATGTTCATGACTTAACTGATGTTTAGTGACCTACTAAGATAAATTCGGATACATGAGGTAAAAACAGTGTCAGAACCTATATACCTGTTGTTGTATTTCATCATGGGTTCCTTGGAGCTGTTTAATATCTTATCCACAGATCCTAAGTGTGCATTTTTTTCTTTTATCAAATTGATTGAATGAGTTTGTCCAGTGCTAAATAAACCTCCTAAGTTATAAAAACACACTAAAGCAGAAACAACATTTAACCCTCCACTTGGAGTGACAAACTGCCTTTCACAGTATTGAGAGATATGAGGTACTCTTGGAAGAGAAGGTGGCACCACTGAAGTTGGCTGATCCAGATGTACAGAACCACAGAAACATATCCAGTTAATTTAAAGTCCTATTGGAGAAAAACACACATTTCAGGAGGTCTGTTTTTCTAGGCATTGACACTGAATGGATTCAAGACAGGCCTGCATTAGCCTTACTGGACTTATCTTGCCCTTGTCAGTTAGCCAGTCCATTTAGAGTTTGACAGGTTCACAGCCGATAGGCATGTAGTCAACTGGTTCTTTCATGGAAAAGGTGCCAAATTTAATTTACTGAGACAGCTCTGAAGGGCAGTGTTAGGTGCTTACCTGGACATGGCATATAAGCAACCAGCTATAGGAGCACATTGTGATAAGGGTTTGGAAGGAAAAAGAAAAACTGTCCCCTACACCAACATTTCTCAACCCATGGGTTGTGACCCCAAAAATGGGTCACAAGAATATATGAAAGGGTCATGAACAAGCTTTAAATATGAAGCCACACACTTTAAAAATGGATTCTCCTTTAAAGGGGAAAAACATGGGAAACCGCAGCTTTTCCCTTGCAGGCTCTCAGAGTTCCAGCCTTCAAGGGGCTGCTTGGGGCTTCCCCTGCCCCCCCATACCACCTATCTGCCCCACACACCCACCCCTTGCCCCACACACTCGGGGCTGGGGGTAGAGGGCACTGGGTTGGGACTGGCCATCTATGTTTACAGATGGGCTCCGATACAAAAAAGGTTGAGAACCACTGCTCTCCACAAGAGGCATCAGCTTTTTATACAGTAAAACAGTAAAGGGCTACTCCTTTTTCAAGCCCAGCTTGGTCAAGTATATCAGAGACAACAGCTCACAGTGTGTTATTTTCTCTCTTTACTCAGTCTTTTAAGAACTTAATGTTAAAACCAAGAGTCATTATGTACTGAATATGCCCACTTACTTGGGCTTCCGCTCCTTAATGGGGAAGGGCTGCGACTTCGAGATAACTGCAAAAGAAACAGAAACAAAATAAATGACATGATCAAGTTCAGCCAAAGGGACTACACTCTAGGCAGGCATGAAAGAATCTGTCAACATTCAGAAAATGTTTCCTGGTGTACTACATCAATGCCATTCCATTGGTTGCCAAGGGAAGCTGAACTTAATAAATACGTTACTTTGATTCTTCTCTTACGATGGCCACAAAGAGTGAGTTTGCCAAGACTCACTCTTGATATCAATATTTGGTAAAACTTGATATTTATATCACATTTCTGGTCTGGATAGATACACAGACAGACATGCAAAAAAAACACAAGAGCCACAATTTTATAAGTATAACAAATAATTGCTTAACCATGCTGTGGGCAGATCTTTGCCGAGAATTCACAGAACATTATTTGGCCTCAGCTGTTCCATTCTGCACCTCCCCAGTTTGTCACTTCCCTGGATTAGGGGACAAATTTAGATTCCTAGTTCCAAGAGGAAGAGACAATGTGCTATATTTATGTACTGTGGGGGGCTTTAAACACAGCCCCCCACAGTAGTGTAATTAGTTATTTAGAGAGCCTTGAACTTGGAAACAGTAGAGGCTTGCAAAACTGGTCAGAGCAACATTACATGGAGAGAGAATTTCCCCTCTTGTAATCAAAGCAAGCATTAAGATCAACAATACATACTTTAATTGGTCTACACTTGGTCAGATATAAGGAAAAAATGTTGGGGAAGTTCCATTAAAAATGTCATGTCTGACAAAAATAGTAACACTCTCACCTATTTTTTGCACCCTAAAGAAATAGATGTGCATAAATAGCACTTTGCAAGGATTATGTTTTATTTTCTTCATGCCGTGCAAGCCAGCTCACTGGAGTGCTTGTTTCCAAATTTCAGCATATACATATGGTATGTGAAATGTCCCCTTCATTCTGAGTATAAAATGATTGATGTAATGTACGGTACCAATGTTCGGCTGGGGGTTGCTCGACGAGATAGCACAGGGCTCATGCTACGGCTGCGGCTTCTGCTCCTGGAAGACCACTACAACAAAACAGAGCACGACACAAATCTATATTAAAATAGGAACATTCACTGAAGCTAAATTTGGAAGCAGGTTCGCTTTGCTCAGCTAAAGACAAGGCTAAGAATGTGAATGAGCTAATCTCCCTAATGAAGCCTCCAATCCTGCAAAACTTATTTGTGCTCTAAGCTTTACAAAGATGGGCAACAGAGTAGGCCTTAACAATTACAAATCCCAACCAGAATTGTCTGGGAATTTTAATAGGATGACTTCTTTTCACAAGTCTAAGAATACCTACCAAAGCACCTCTCTTTGTAACTGCTTCTCCCTTCACAATTATGGTATCATTTTCCAACAGAGCAGGCCATACATGGTAGGCCACCAACGGGGCTGTGAAATCAGAGTCATAGCTGTGGCGGTACCTGCTCAAACACAGAAAAGATATCTGGATAAATGCCTGAAAACCCATTGGTGACTGGAAGTAGCGTATACACTTGAAAGAACCAAAATTTTATATTCGCTTATAGAAGTCTTTAAGCAATATCTCCATGCTACATGTAAAAAATAATTCTTCTGTAACAGTATGTATAAAGTAATATGCTTATGAAAGAGTCATTTAGGCTAACAGCATATTGTCTACCAATATTAAAAGTGTCATTATAATTACTTCACATCGGAGGCACATTAGGTTATCTTATAGCATATTTGGAGCCCTTTCGTCATTGACTGAAAAGGCAGAACAGTGTTCTGATAATCTGATGTTTATTATATCATCCTAGAACTCTTGGTCAAACAACGATTATGCAAAAGATATTACAGTAAAAGGGTGCAGGGGACAGGCTGGTCCCAATGCAGTCCCACAGGGAAAGGTAGCTTGTCCCTGTCCCATGGAAAGGAAACGAGGCATGGCCCAGCCCTGCAGGGGGGGAAGGGACATAGCCAGGCCCCAACCCAGCCCCATAGGGGAAGGGGGCATGGCCCAGCCCCAACAGGAAGAGAGAGGTATGGCCCAGCTATGTGGGGGAAAGGAGACCTGGCCAGGCCCTAACCCAGTCTTGTGGGGTGGGAAGGGGGCGTGGCCCAATCCCAATCCAGAAGTAGAGGAGTGGGGTTCGTGCCCTGGCCCCATGGGGGAAGGGGTGGCAGACTGGCCCAGCCCCACACACAAGGTTGGGCTTGGGAATATGGCATGGGGATAGTGACCATATTAATGGCCACTGCTCCCCCACCACCAGATTTCCTGCCTACAGGGAGCCCCACAGGCTATATGCCATGGTTCGTATCTGGCCTGCAGGCCAGAAGTTAAGCACCCCTGAACTAAATGATCAAAGTTCTTCTTTAAACCTTAATGTAAATAGGCTGCACAGGCAGAGAAACGTGTTGGACTGAATACATCTTTTCAATCTCCAGCTCCTAAGAAGACTATAATAGAATATTTCCAAGTTCTCCTTACTTAGACTCATTAAAAAGTTCTCCATCTGCACCAAATGCAATATCCACAGGAGGAATCAATGTCTGCATTGAAAAAGCTACACGGCACAACTCCCGGATCAAACTGCTGATTATAATGAAGTCAACTTCTGGTGGGAATGAAATTTTAGGATTGATATTCATGGCACGAATCACTTCCTGAAAGCAAACATAACAACGTATTTAGTAATTCACTAATAACATTGAACCCGAGTTTATCACACTTTGCAATTACAGACCAGCAGGTATAGGCCCTCCTAAACTGAAGTCCTGTTGTTTCCCCCCGCCATTTATACACCCTCATTTTAGCAAAAGATAAACAGAACACCAAAGATGCAGTCATTGGTTATTTCAGTGACTAGGGTTAGGAAATACTAACCCTAAAAGATGTAATATTTTAGCTCCATTACACAGTGAAATACAATGATACACCATTCCCTCTCTCTTACATTGACAGTGGTTTGAACATCATAAAGATCCTCATGGCGAACTATGTAGTCCAAGACAATGTCTTCAAGCGACTCGGGGCCTGAGTAACTTAAAGAGACAGTCTTTCTCACACGCAGTTTGAACTGTCTGAAGGCCATCTTTGCTGCATGGAAAGACTCCTGTAAATATTAAAACAAACATTCAGTTAAATTCATAAACTGTGTAAGCAAAAAGATAAAGTTTGATTTTCAAATAATATTCTAAACTCATGTCTGGGGTATCCCTATTGATCAAGGGATACATTTTGGCTAATAATCTTTACAGTTCTCTGGGAATCAAATGCCACCAAAAAAAAAAAAAAAAGCGAGAGTTTAGAAATAGTACTTATTTGGGAGGGTTTCTTAGATGAACCACATTTTAAATTCCAGAGGATAGATAGATTTCAATGCTTCCAGCTTTCAGCTAAACCTTCTATTTTTCCACAAGATTCCATCACTTAAAATCAAGTACTGAAATCATTAGGGTTGTTGGTTGTAGCTGTGTTGGTCTAAGGACATAGGCAAACAAGGTTCTTTGGGTAGATGTGATATCTTTTATTAGGCCAACTAAATAGTTGGAAAAATTGTTCTTTGCAAGTTCAGGCACAAAGACCCTTCTTCAAGCATAGAGAGTTTGCTGGTGTAATGTGTGCTCTCATTTTTCCAACCATTTAGTTGGCCTAATAAAAGATGTCACATCTACCCAAAGAACCTTGTACTGAAATGATTTTGCATTCAAAGATGCCACTGAACAGAGCTCAATGCTTGCAATTTTATGTGCTATAGAGTAACATGTTTACAGCAGAACATTGTCTGCTACTGTACCTTAATGCTGTGATTTGATTGACAATTACAGTTTTATAAAAAAATTAAAATCTTTGCATGCATACAACAACTTTTGCTGTCAAGATTCAATCCTGAGAAGTGTTGAGCATGCATAGGGTTCTCAATGATCTAAACATGAGCTACGAGAACTCAGCAACTTTCAGGATCAGATCCGTTAAAACTCACAAAAAGCTTTATATGGATAAGTCTGAGCCTTTTGAAATACTAGGCTTTAAAAACATTAGTTTAAATGAAGCAGTGTGATCTGCTCTATGGACATTGTGACTCGGAGCTAGTAACTATGCTATTCTAAGGGAAATATAAAGGTTATGAAATCAAGGGTAATTAAAATGGGGGGCAGGGGGAGGAACTAAAAGGAAAAAATAGATCAGGTGAAATATTTCCTTGTGTGAATCATGGAAATATTCGTTCACATCTGATTGCATTTTAATCCATCCAGATTTTCAAAAAAAAAAAATCTATACCTCTCGCAAAAATATTCAAAGAAATGCAGTTTATGTTTTATTTCATACCACAGCTGCAACATATATTATCCTCTGCACCATCTCTGGATCATCCACATATGTCCTTAAAAGGGTCTGTGCATCCAAGCGTTCTTGTGTATAAATCTCATTGAAGCGGGCCACTAGATGGGCATGACGTGAAGCATTTGTGAGCCGGGCTCGGCCGGGGGAGCAACTCCTCAAGGGAAGAGGACTAGGTGACCTGCTCTGGGTGCGCGTGGGGGAAGGAGAGCGACTCCGTGCAAGTCTGAGAGAGAGAGAGAGAAAGAGAGAGATGCTTTCAGGAACTGTGGGCTGGCCTGTTGTACCAATTTAACTATTTATGATGCAAATATTTTTATGCCAATTTTGTTATAGAAGTACAATGCTTAGCCTCAGTGCCATTAAAAATAGTTTTAAAGTACTTTTACCAATAAAAACTTACAAGTTTATTTTTAAAGGCAGATACACACAAACTAGTTATCTTGTGGCAAAGGGAGGGATGATAACTGCCTATGTGGCTCAGCTACCATGGCTTAGCTTTCATCTACCAAAGACTAAGAGCATATGCATATAGGAAGTTTCTGTAGCATAGCTAGTGTGTGGCAAATCTCCACCTTTTACTTTGTGGTAACCAGTTCATCTACCCACACCATAAACCAAATCAATAAACTTTTAAGTCCTAATACTGTGTAAAGTTAGTAACTTCATTCTAGAGAAACAGTTTTAAATGCTACATCTTTTGCAATGTATGCCTCATCCATCTCCAAGGCACAGTGGCTACTGAAGCAAATCAACATGTAAATAACAGTTTTGTATCAGCACAGTGCAGTGTTCAAAGGGGCTTGCAACAAGAAATAACCAACTGTTATCCATAAAGATAGCTTAGTCTGCAAGGCTGTCCTCTTTGGTAAATTTTCTGAAACAAAATAATTGGCTGAACTAAAAACATTTGGGCATCGAAATAAATTGAATGGGAACATTTATGTTGCTTCATAAAAGGTTGAGAATGTTTAGTGGGTTTTTTGCATTTCATTCTAAAACAACCATCGCTCTTCCTCTTCTGTAACAGCTCTAACATGGGAGATTATAATTCATTGGGAGCAACCCATCATCAGATTAAAGTTTAAAAAAAACCTAATGTACTATTCAGTTCCCTCACTTTGTGTTAATGATTCAACAGATTGAGGTCCATACCTGCTTTGAAGAACAGATTTCTGAGCACCCAGGATGGCAATTTCATCCTTCAATATTTGAATCTGTTGTTCATAGTCATTCAGACGGCCCAGATTCCTCAGAGCACTCTCCTCCTTTGCTTGGGAAGCCTTCAGACTTAACCACAAAGAATAAAGACGGTCACAGGAAGTCCTGCTACAACTGTAAAGAATCTATTTATTAACTGATATTTGTATATAAAAAAACCTTTGTGAAAATGGTGGGGAGTTTGACTTCTATGGAAAAGACACTTAGAAATCTAGCATTAGCAATAAACTGCCAAGCAAACCACAAATTCTTTATTTTTCTTTAACTGCTACTTTAAGACATAAAAACAGTATTGCAGGAGCCTTTGTATTCCAAGTCTCGTCTTTGGGAGGAAGTATTAGTTAATTTTATACATCTTTATAGGCAAGGTTCTTTGAGTAAATGTGATATTCTTTTATTAGACTAAACAGTTGGAAAAATCATTCTTTGCAAGCTTTTGGGTACAAACACCCTTCTTCAGGCACTGGAAAGAGTCTGCTGTTGGTTCGAGTGCTCTTTGTAGCACTTTAGATGACTGGAATCTAAAAAAAGAAGTAATTCTTTGTCCTGTGTAGGCCAGTTTAATTAGAAACTCAAACCTTAAAAAAAGAAGAGGGGTTTATGCTGTTTTATTATTTATCTCAGGTCCTCCTTTTCCTCTCTTTACTGGAGTTTTTTGGCAAGGCCCTGGGGGAGCCTGAATAATTATGTTACTTGAGGCTGTTAAATGAAGCTCTCCCTGTCCCACAAAGAAGGAGGTGCTAATTCTTAAATAGTGGCAGATACTGTGTCCATTAAACCTACACATATTTATATACCCTCTTTTACTGCTTCTTTACTATTTCTTGTAAAATAAATGTTTCCAAAATTCAGCAGGGCAACCGCTCCCAAAATATTGGAATCGTAACTCCCTCTGACCTTTCTTCAGCAGACAAGGGGGAAAGTACAGAAAGATAGCCTGGTTTCTTCTCAGGAGTACTCTGTTTGTCCTGAATGAAGGGGAGAAGTGAGGTAGTTACAGCCCCTCCTACCACGTAACTAGAAGCTACTCTCAAGTCCTGCTGCTAATTCAACTGTAAAACACTAGTATTTTGCTTAACAAGGGTGATTAACTCACTTCGTTGAAAAGCCAAATATCACAAGAAGCTCATATCCTGTTGGAAGGGATTTTACTCACCTTCAAGTCAAGGCTTCTTTTCTGACAGAGAAAAGATAAAACTGGCCTGGGAGTGAGATGAATAAATTGGCACTACCATCAGGTCAGGATTTAGACCACAAGGTCTATCTGCCTCTAAGGACTTTGGGAAATGGAAGGAATCCTCCTTATGTCAGCTGCCACCATGTTGAACCAGCTCAGTATCTTTTAAAGGACAACCACTACACTTTGAAGCCAAAAGAGCATTTATAAAATCAGAGGCATGAACATTACAGAAGATCACCACCACCTCAGCACACACCCAACAAAAAGAATTGGCAAAGCCAGCCTGGAGGCCCTCCACATACATAAATTTTAATTTAAGGAACTTGAAACATATTTTATCTAACATGAACACGTTACTTCCAAGAAAAGCATAATAGCATGCTATGGACAAAATGTCTACAACCTGAATTCAAACCGAGGTTTCAGTGAAAGCCTCTCTCTTATATCAGCTCCACTTGTTGTATCCAAGTACTGTCAAGCTGCTGGCTTTAAAGTACATTATAGCTAAAAAAAGAGGGGCACAGGAAGGTCAGTCAAAGCATGAATCTTGTCATACTGAATCTACTTCAGCTAAGTCTTAGGACCTCTCTACACACAAAGCCAATGCTCCCACCAGCTGGCTGTTAACAGAAAGCATGAAGTCTCCAAACCAGAAGATTTATTTTTCACCTCATTTTCCTTGGATCATCCCCAGAGATGGTACATTTCCAGACAATGCCGAGCAAAATCAGAGTTTAAAACCAAAATTCACACCTAAATAAGTCCTGACAGCTGGGGGATTGGGGGGGGGGGAGATATTTATTTCCCCCACCCCCTCCCTGCCAAAGCTGTAAAAATATATCTCCACTAGCCTATCCAATTGCTACAGCCTAGAAGACAAGTGAGCTGGGTCATTCAGCCAAAGTTTTAAAAGGAACAATGAACACATTACAATTCTTTGCCTTTTCCAGTTTGATCCTGTTGTTAAGAGGAGTTACACACATACTTTTGGAGAAGCACAGGAATATTGAGCATTATAAAATTGTAAATAAAACACACACACACACACACACACACACACACACACACACACAGAGGGAAATCCCAGGTTTTGCCTTTGCATGCTGCTGTGCTGCCACAACACCCCTACATCAGATTGTTCTTACGCTGTTTTTAGCTGAACAATTTCATCCTCTGCTGCCAAAAGGGTAGTGGCTGATTTGGTCTTTGTGTCTTCAAGAGCCAACTGGGCTTCTGCCAGACTGCAAGAAAAATCAATAACCAGAAATACACCTTTAATGCAAAGGTACAGATCCTTCCAGTGAATTTAGCATGTCAGAATTGATTATTTGAACAGATTTTTCTTTCTGGCAGATCAACTCTTTGCCAGAACATGAAAATCATCACACAGGACTTGAGCACACTCTAGCTGCCAAGCAATAGTTTGTGAAAGTCCTACCCGACTAAACTATAACAGAGCTACTGTGTTACAGTCCATTACTATTCATCTTATACAATTCCAGCTCCTTTCCCAACTTGGACCACCTGGTTTGTTTCCACTGTCCATTGTGTCTGACACAATCTTTAAATACTGAATCCTCCTATTTCCACATCTGCAAACATGCCTATCACTAACTCCACAACAATCCCTGTGTATTCTACTGTCTTGAAAAAACCTCACTGCTAAAATGTGCATAGGTTATTTTATGCATATATTGATTCAACTATTGCATATCCTTCCCTAGGTCTCTGCTCCCTAGAGCTCTACATATGCAAAATACTGCTGCCTTCTTTCATACATGAATTGTACTAAGTGCAGTCATTCTACCATCATGCTGTACTATTATCATTACTTCCCTATTCATTATAGGTTCCATGTCTTATGTAGACGTGGCTATAAACTAACTAAGTCAGATGCATATGCTTTCATAAGCAGTATCTAATGAAGCAAGCTGCTGCTTACAAGCTAGGCATCTCTGATTTAGTTGGAACATTAAAGTACAAATCTACCCTACCTTCTGCCTGAAACACTATAAGATATTAGATATAAACAATGAAAACCAGGCTCTTCCTCATCTGGCCAGTCACCTTTCATATCAAACTAATATCAGCTTTGGGCACATCTACACTTGAAATTAATGAGATGCAATTAACTCTCATTCGATTCGGATTTGGAGCTTTGGCCACCAAAATCAGGCCGAATCTCCTCTGAACCGAATCACCACCTAAAGCTTCACACAGCCCTACTATTTGATGTTTACAGTGTGTGTAATTACTATACGATCAAATAATTTCCTCCTTTCTTCAATCCCTAAAACATTGGTTTGAAGTATATGGTATTTTTTACCACTGAGATACTCTTTCTCCCTAACTCTGGAGATAAGCAATTTTATTGTGCCTATCCTCAACCTTTGATCTTATCAGCTACTTAGCTGTGGTGACAAACTGACAAGAGATTCCAGGAGAGAGCCCTATAACCTGGTTCTTCCCTTGATAAATCCCAACAAGTGGCAAGGAGAAGACCTCTCTATTTTTTCAAAAGACTTTCGTACAGTTCTGTCCTCTCATATCTGAGGTTCAATATAAATTTTATGTACCATGGAGAAGACTGTAAGTAGTTTTGTCCTTCACTATTATAAACAAACAGCTGACACTCAGCTCTACATCAGCTTGTCATTTTTTATGGATACAATGCTTTTTATTTACCTAGTTTCAGAAAGAGTCACAGAATGAATAAAAAAGAGTTATGTTCAACCAAGGCTCTCAAGGAATCCATTTCAAAGCACTTGGAAGAGAAGAAAGTGATTAGGAACAGTCAGCCTGGATTCACCAAGCGTAACACATCTGGAGTAGTGTGTCCAGTTTTGGACCCCCAACCACAGAAAGGATGTGGACAAATTGGAGAGAGTCCAGCAGAAGACAACAAAAATGGTGAGGGGGCTGAGGCACATGACTTCTGAGAAGCAGCTGTGGGAACTGGGTTTATTTAGACTGCAAAAGAGAAGGAGCAGGATTTAATAGCAGCCTTCAACTACCTGAAGGCTGGTTCCAAAGGGGATGGAGCTAGACTGCTCTCAGTAATGGCAGATGACCAAACAAGGAGCAATGGTTTCAAGTTGCAGTAAGGAAAGTTTAGGTTACATATTGGGGAAAACATTCTTAATAGAAGGGTAGTAAAACACTAGAATAGTAGGGGTGTGTGAAATGGGTCGTATTCGATTTGGATTCGGATTCAGCCCAAATTGGGGACAGTGATCCGAATCAACGAATCGAATCAATCTGGCCGAATCCAAATTTGAAGATTTGATGCCGATTTGGAGAATCGGCCGATTCAGCCATAGACACAGCTTTAAATGTTTTTTCTACATATCTTGATGGCATTGCTCATGAACATTGTGATGCTAGGGCGGATGAAGTATCCCACAGGAGCATGGGAGAGGGGCCCTACGCCCCTGCCTCGCTCAGCAATCAGCCACAGGGGGGACCCCAGGTGCCCCCCCTGACCCACGAGGCACCAGTCACCAAACTTCAGGGGGCCCCCCCACACCCCTCCTCATACTCCTCAGTGGACCCAGAAGTGCTTCTGGTCCATTTCTGGGTCTGCTGCCAAGTGTGCTGGGAACTCCCTCACACACTCCTGTGGGACGCTCCACCCACCCCACCATTGCAGCATTCACGAGCTGCCTGGTACCTAGAGGTATGTAGAAAAAAAGCTGTGTCTATGTCCAAATCATCAAATCTTTCCAAATCAGTTTGGAGGGTTCCAATTTGATTCAGAGAGATTAAAGGGTCTCCCGATTCGATTTGGAGATTTAGCCACCAAATCAGGCCAAATCTCTGCTGAATCAAGTCAGCGACCAAAGCTTTGCACAGCCCCATAGAACTGGTTACCCAGAGAGGTTGTGGAATCTCCATCTTTGGAGGTTAAGCCCCAGATAGACAAAGGCTTGAGTGGGACAATCTAGTTGGGGATAATCCTGCTTTGAGCAGGAGGCTGGACTAAATGACCATCCAAGGTCCCTCCCAACCCTAATTTTCTATGATTCTAAGATAAAAGAGATACCGATACGCATGGGAGTTAGAGGTTAGCCTCTGGATCAAAAACTTATAGACTTTAAATGCTGAAGGCTGCAAGTGAGAGGAACAATGGGAAAAAAAACAAACAAACAAAAAACCCCTCTGGTCATACCCAGTTCACTCCCCCTTGCAGCATCCACTCTCTGCCAATGTGTGACACAGGCTACTGAGTAGGATGGACCTATGGTCTGACCCAATACATGGCAGTTCTTATGTTACCAGACAGAAAATATCTAGACAAATGGACCAGAACTAGGATAGTACCTTTTATGACTGATCTTGTCAATATGGTTTGTAATTTTGATTCCATTATTATTCTTGGAATTCCAGTTGGAAGAAGTTAAGCAGAATGCTTTTTTTGCCCTTGTGTTTGGATTTAAGTTGAGACAATTTATTGCTGTTACAAACCTTGCCACTGTTTGATACCACCTTTCCTACAGGCTAGATGACTGCCAAGTGCTTCATCTGGGGCTTGAAACGTACTTGAACACTTCAGCAAGTGCAGTGGCCAGTAATTTAGTTTTTTAAATGGAATGTACCATTTTGATGATAGGTTAGTGTTCCATGCTTCACACAGGCAGTTAGTTCAACAAAAGCTCTTCAGTCTTAACCGGTTATTTTAAGAAGTAGTCTGTCTTTCTCTGTCCTGCCACAGCGATTGTGATTTCCTGAGATGTTAGTCACACCTAAAGTTAGATCCTAGTGGGTGATAGCCTACTGAATCAGTGCCCTCATTAAAGGTTATATGCTTTTGGAATCTGCTTCATCCAAGTGATTTATGGAAAGACAGCAAACTTAAGGAATCAAAGCATTACCTGGTCAGTCAAAAGGAGAAATTACCTTTTTTCACCTTTTATGGCCACTGCACCATATTAAAAGCCAAACAAGAGAGCTTTTATACAGTTGTCCGGGGGGAGAGGGGGGGGGGGGGGGGGGGGGGGAGGAGAGACCTGCTATTTCTAAGCGCTACTTTGTTCAATACGTGAAAGGGATAGAACTTCAGGGATAATGGGACTCTGCAGAAACAAGCTCTAGGATAATTATCTGAGTTTCTGCTAACTTCAGTCTCCCAAAATAATAATAATTAGCATATATACCCGTCCTGAAAGCAAACCTAGTTTTAAAATACAAAATCAGAAAAAGTGTTGTTACTTAATACAAGGAATGATCTTAAATGTATAATTCAAAGCAATATTTTAAATAGTTTCAACAAACAATTGTATGATTTTCTTATGATATCCTTGAAATATAGAAAAACATAGCACAGAAAAACAATTAAGAATTTACACACACATTTTATGACATCATAAACCAGTCAAGTTTAAAATTGGTGGTTACTATGATGATGTAAGGATGAATCCTCTTCAAATTTAAACTGTTTACCTATAAGAAGCAGGGGTCTAAAACCTTAATACACACTTTAGAATTTTAAACAAGCCTAAATTAAATGAGTGCTCGGGTTTTCTTTGACAGTTCAAAAGTATCCAAGGAGTGGAAAATGCACAGGGTTATGTGACTCATTTCTTAATTTTAAGATTACATTAATAAACTGAAAAGAACAGAACAAGAAAAAATAAAAATCCTCTCAATTTGCCCTTTAAACATATATGTTGTTTCCACTACCACATGGCCCTTCTATCCACCCTTTCTAGTCTTCCTGCCAGCATTCTCATCTACCCTAGAATACTCTCCCATCCCAGTATCAACTTACAAAATGATATATAGGATAAAAATTAAGAATCCCTAATGCCTACCATACTTCAGCTAGTTCATTAATGTACAAGGATAAGGAAATGTATACACAGAAGAATAATAACTATGCAGATGTTACCTAGAGGTGTTTTATGAAGCTTTGAGGATGGCAACTAAAAGCAATTTTCATGGCCAATGACAGTTTGAATTGAAGAAGAAAACCATGGTAGTGTGTTCTAATTCCTTTTCAGATGTCCCTTCCCTTTTCCCCTGCCAATATTGGTAGAAGTTGTTGGTTGGTAACCAACTGTCTACACCCCTGCTTCAATTCCAGCTTAGGTATCTAAAAGAAGAAAAGTAACCATTTCTACATTACCTACAGCAGTGGTTCTCATCCTTTTTGGACCTGCAGCACCCCTCACTGGATTTGAGGCACCCTTTCATAGCTTCTGTGAACTGAGTGGCACCCAATTTCAAAAACTATACATGCACAATATACAAGGAGGGCTGTATAGTATAATAATTACTATATAAATAATACTTGTATATTTATAGCCACTCCTTGCAGATGGGCTAGGAAGTAGGGGTAGGGGATTGGCCAGGCAGGGACAAGCCTGACCCTTCACTCATCTGCTTATCTCCTCACACCTCAAGGTAACTTTCAAAAGATATGGCAGCATCCTAGGATCCCTCAGTACCCTAGTTGAAGAAAAAAAAAAAAAAAAAATGCTGGCTTAGGGCGAAATAAGAATTTTCCAATTAAAGGACAAAAAGATATTATAATTGGTTAAAAAATAAACCTGCAGAGAAATTAACTCTGCATCTTTTTTTTTAAATGTATATAGAGACCATTATAGGAAGAGCTACACTGCACCTACACAAATCTTATTTTTGGATAGTATGTTGCTCAAATGAGCAAATAAGAGCTTAATTGTTTGCTAATGCTAAGGTATTAGACTTCAGATAATAGCTTGATTTTTCAATACATTCAGTTTGCACTATATATAAATATAAATAGCCGCTTCAGGTGTCAAAGAGACACTACCATTATGACTGCCCACTGCTGACACTTGAAAGGAAACAACTTGTGGCAAAAAACAAGTATTGCTGAGGCACAGAAGTGTGTCCCTCAAATCTCTTGCTGCCCATCTTATTTGATGCATGTAGGAGAACTCTTGGTGAGACAGGGCCTGATCCTGTACCATTCAAGTCGATGGGAATTTTGAAATGGACCTCAATAGGAGTGGGTTCAGGACAATTATTTCCAAATATTAGAGTACTGGTAGGTGGACTATGCACAACCGTGCATCTCTTGCCCTGCAGAAGCTGCTACCTTGGAAGACCGACCACATGATACTACTCACAAAAGGCACAGGAGCTGCCCCAGTCCTTAAATGAAGACAAATCCTGGTAGATCAAGGTCATAAGAACTT